TAAACAGCATGTTATTTGACTTAAAAATAACAGAAAATAACGTCACATGTACAATTAATTCAAATTTTTGTAGAGTCTGACTTTGAACACTGCAAAAAGAAGTATATACATTGCAGTCATTTTTAAAACACGTTTTTGGAAACAACTTAAAAGTGACAAAATAGTACATAGTACACGGACAAATGTTGTTTCATTTATCACACAGCCCAACAAAAAAAAAGTGTCATGTACTTTTGACCGGAATACCCTAACCCTATGTATTTTGACGCGCTGAACACGAATCCGAAGTCCGTTTTGCTCCATCACGTCAGGATTTTTTTCTAACCTCAAAAAACATGTCGGATTTTGAGAAGTAAGCGATTTTTATAAAAATTGATGTATTAACTTCAAACCTGGTATCTGGGGGTTTTTTGTGTCGCTGATTATGAATCTGAAGTTAAATTTTCAAAATCCAAAATGGCGGATCCAATATGGTGGATGAATTTTGAAAAAATTTTAAGATTTACTTCAAACTTGGTATCTAGGGTTTTTTTGGGTCGCTGATTACGAATCTGATGTCAGATTTCCGAAACTCGATATGTCTGATTCAATATTAAGGAATTATTTTTAAAAAATTGTCAGATTATTATGAAATTTGGTATCTACAGGTTTTCTAAGTTGCTGACAAGAAACACTAGGGAAGTGCCATACGCCGATTTTTCTGAAACTTGGCAGTTTAGTCGTTTTTGAAAACAATTTGACACGTATGTTTTGTTTTTTCCCAAAAGCTGATTTATGGGGGGGAACTACCCCTTGAATTTTTTTTGGGTAGGGGACATTATTTTACAAAATTTTTTAAAAATTAATGTGCAATAGTGTATCTGGGGGTTTTTTGGGTCGCTGATTACGAATCTGATGTCAGATATTAGAATATATTAGATATATTAGAAAATACGAAGGAAATTGACATGGGAAATTGAAAGAAAAAATGAGAATTTACATCAAATCATGTCTCAATTTCCTATATGATTTTTCATAAGATCCTATATAGTTTCTTACATGAGACATAGGATTTTATATGGATTTCAATATATAAATTTATGTAAGATCCTACATAAGATCCTACATGAAAATATTTAGTATCGATGTAATTTGTTCCGAATTAATTTGAAATTAATCAGAATTCGAAAGAATTAGATATTTACATCGTTTAATTTCTTGAAAAATAATTGTATTCCAAAATAAATTTTCAAAAATATATTTAAACTATATTGTATGATTAAAATTTGAAATTAAATTTTTAATGGGTTGAAATTAAAATTAATTAAAAGTTTAAATCATATATCCCGTATGGAAAAATGGTTTGAGCCCCCGGCAGGGCACGCATAGATTGACCTTTATCCGTATGGTTTATAATAGCCAGAATTTTTGTTTTTCTAACCAGAATAAACAGTTAAAAACATTATTAATAAATTTTTCAGTTAAAAAAGTTCGAACTCAATTTAACTAAATTTTTTTTTAAATGTCTGGATTTGCTAAAATATTGCATTCTATAAGCAAAAAAATAGTTTTAATAAGAAATAAGAAATATTGTTTAATCATGATAATATAATAACATGGACTTGACCTGTCTATACATATAAATTTCAACTACTAAAATTATAATTTTTAAAAAATATATTGATAAATTTATAAACAATGCATTCATTAATTAATAATACAATTATTTACAATTCATTTAAGAGACAGTTTTTGGACAAATTTTTTCTAATTAATTCGGTTTTCAAAAAAGATCATTTAATGTTTATTTCAAGTGCTTTAAAATGTAATTTAAAGCATTTTGTGATAAATATTTTTGATAAAAAAAAATTTCGAGGTGGACTTAGAAATATTATTGAGCAGGAAAACCATAAGGGCAAAGAACAGGAGCCCTGCCGGTGGCCCTCAGTTCAATAAAAATTTCAAAAAATAATTTTGAAGGGGGCTAAGGGGTTAAAAGCGAAAGATAAGTGTTAGTTTTGAAAAAAAAACATGGGTTAAAAATTGTGTTTCGAAAAAACCTTTTTTGGGCATTGAAAAGTACAGAAAAAATGCTTCAAAAAACACTATTCACAAACTATAATCCATTTAAATTTGTTCAAGTTAGAAAGGTTTGAACATGACAGTGTATTAAGAAAATTTGGTGCTGTTTTTGCCGCATGCACTGTCATATTCAAACTTTTCTATCTTGAACAAATTTTAATGGATTATAATTTGTGAAAAGGGTTTTTTAAAGCGTTTTTTTTACTTTACAATGACCAAATAGATTTTTTCAAAAAACAATTATTCACCTCCGTTTTTTGAGAATTAACCCTTTAGCCCCCTTCAAATTTATATTTTTGGAATTTTTATTGAAAAGCAAACATTTTTTCCGATAAAAAACTTTTAACTTAAAAATGTGACATCAATGGGTTTTTGAGAAAATGTGAAAAACGGAAAAAATTTGTTTTTTTACCTTTTTTCGCAAACTTACACGGGTTTATTGGAAAAACCACAGCCTTCTAAAAAAATTTTTGATGGGGGCATAAGGGGTTAAAAATGAAAAAGAAGGATTAATTTTCAGAAATAGGGGTTAACATTTTTTTTGAAAATTTTTTTGTTGGTTTTTAAAAAGTACGCGAAAAATTTTTTACAAAACCCCATTCACAAATTACAATCCGTTAAGTTTTGTCAAATATCACGGATTTGAAATTATTATTGTTACTTGATCCTTTGTATCTTTTCTTGGAATATTTTTTACACATGAAATTTCTCTTCGAAAAATCTATTACTCATTACCGAAAAATACTTATATTAAAGTTACGCCTTAAAATTGAATACATATAAGGGGGCGGGTTCTAAATTCGGGCAGTGTCCAAATTAGCCCCGTGAGGGGAAGCATTATACCCCCACTCTACCTACCGGGCCATAAACACGGAGCTCAAGGGACGCATGCACCGCGGGCGGCGTTCTCAGGCCTAATGTCGCTTCTACAATGGTCAGGTTCCACGTTCACGGTTGACGTGCCGCGCTTGTGCTACGAGCACGAAAGCGAGTGTTGCCAACTGCTACGACTGACAGGGCAGGGAAATGTGTATATTGGATTTAGTATGGTAAAAATATAGTTTTGAGGTTATGTTAATTTCTTGTGTTTATGTATTAAAGGTCAATGATAAATTAAATTATTCAAAATTGTAATTAAACGAAAATTCAATTATTATTTCATATTCAATAAAAGGTTCAATTATTTTCATTTTAAATAAATTTAAAGTTATTTAAAATTGTAATAAATTAAAATTTTTTTTTACAATAATTAAATTTCTGGAAATTAGAATTTTTTGTTAAAAAATTCTTGAAACTCTCTAAATGTGAATTAGTAAAAAACTACTAATGAAACAGTGAGAAATCATTTTCCATTACTTTCACTTGTATTTAACTAATTTTTAGTAGAAAATTACTAAAAAAATATTATGAAACTATTTTAATTTCTACAGTAAAATATATACTAAATGAAATAGTGAATAACTTTACTGTTTTAATTGGTAGATATTTTACTATCAAAATAATAGTTTTTTACTATTTTTTATTAGTTTTCTACTAAAAATTAGTTAAATACTACTAATTGAAATGGTAAACTATTTTCCACTGTTTGCGATTAGTATTTCATTTATTAATTAATTTTCATTTCATTCTATTTTAATTAAACTAAAATATAATTAAAATAAACTTTAATATATTTAAATTTTCAAATAAAAATATTACATTTTAGTTTAGAGCTAATTTGAAGCAATAAAAACCAGTCAGCGATTTTATCCTGTATGAGCGAAATAGCCCCACTTGTTGTAATTTTAAAAAAAATTATAATTACCAAATATCACTTTTCAAATTATTTTCAGTTGAATTATCAGTGCCAGTTGAAAAACAATTGGCAATTGTATTAATTTTCAATTTTAGGCAAAGGTATCATCCACTGTGATATACAATAAAGGAATTATGGTTTCGGCAGTTTTAAAGTTTATTTAGTTTACCAAGTAATTTTTTTCAAATCAACAAGATTTAGAGGACATAAATAATTATTTACTGAAAATTATAATTCACTGTTTTCAAATTTCTTCAATCGACATTTTCTTATTACTTCCAGTTAATTAGAATAGAAGTTTGTAAACAAATTAATTTTTATTTATATTTCTCAAATTCTGTTCTTATGATCATTTTTTCCTACTTATAAGCACCTCATAATTATATTTTTAATTTTTGATTACAGTGTTAGCTAATGGTAGATTCTGACTTCAAACTTGTTTTTTCAAAACTAGTGTTTAGACACTTCTAGTTTTGAATTCTTATAACTTCGTAAATTTTTTCATTTAAAAAGCTCTAAGATCACTTAAAATTTCCTAAATTAAACAAGCAATTTTTCCATATAGAAAAGTCCAACAGTGTCTAAGTGGTTTCTTTTTATACATACGTAAACATATTATTATTTATATACTTAATTTGTTCATATAAAAGAATAACAATTTTGTATCTATTATAATTAAAACAAAAGCAAGAAAAGAAGAAATCTTATACTTTGAAAAGAGAATCTTAAAAATCCATTTCGCTAAATGTATTTTGGTAAGTACAATAATTTTTTTAATTACAATGAAATCTTACTTTTGAATTTAATATATGTTTATGAATTTAATTTGCAACATAGAAAATTATTGCACAGATATAGAAGCTATAGAAAATCAAAGCGGAGCAAGTATATGGCTAAATAATCACTGGATTTTCCAGTGATTAGTCCAGTAATTGTTCCATTAATATTTTCCGTAATTAATCTACTAATTCTTTTTCTTAAAGAATTACAGTGTAGAATATTTTTATTCTGTATTTAAATTACACAACCTTTTCATGGAAACATAAACCCTTAGCTTAAAAATTTTAAACAAAAATGGAATAATTATTTCGACATTTTAAAAAAATTTTATTTTGTTTAAAAATTTTTTACAAAACCTTTTGTTTTAATGTTTCAGTTTATGTTCAATTATTTCCTCAATAATGTAGAAACATTTGCGTTGATATTTATGTGGGATTCTATCCCAAGCTCGTTTCATCTCCGCCAAGTAGTCGATGGTACGAGTGTCTACTGATGGGGCATCAGCAGCGTTTATAGATGGGCCATCCAAGTCCTCTAAATTTTTATTTAATATAAATATCAATACATTTTGTTAAATTTATTTTTATATTATCTTTACTTAAAATTCAAATATTTCGGTAAAAATTACAGCTGAAGAAATCAAATAGAAATGATCTTAAAGCTTATTAAATTCATTTTTAAATTGTTAATAATTTAATTATTATATTTATAAAATTACTACAAATACAAAATTTTCAATAATTTTTAGAAAATATTGATTATTCCCTACAATAAAACAGACAAAGTGTCCCTTTTTAATGCGGACGTATCATATGTAAAAAAATATAAAATTTTTTAACTAACTCAGCTAAATATATAAGATCTCATTTTTTCGTTTCTGCGTAGTATTGAAATAAGAATTTCCTTCTTCGAATATCTTATTTGAAGGAAAAAGGAAAACTTAAAAAACTTTCGAATTTCATTTGTTTTGAAATAACTAACTGATTTTCAGTAACATTTTTTCTAGGGTTTAATCCAGTTAATAGGTTATAAAAACTTAAAAAATATTTTATTTCAAGCTGATTTTTACAGATTTTCATATTCAATGTCTGAACTAAAGTTAATCAATTTAACATTAATTAACTTCAGTTTAAAAATTAAATAAAAAATGTATTAAAATCAAACTAAATTTACATTTTTTCCAGTGTTAATAAAACAAAAAACAAGCCAATACCTCCACAAAATGTCTGCTTGGAATCAGTTTGTATTTTTAATACAACTGTTAAAATCCAAATGGTTTTTTGAATTTATTTCCAAAAAAAATATTAAAAGAAGAAACATTACAGTTCAATATTTTACAGAAATAAAAAAATTAGAATTTATATATTTAGGTGATCAAATTTCAAACAATTTATATTGATGTAGATACCTATAATAATAAAGTATATATTACATAATTTTTCCATTTTACGGAGATTTTTTAGCATCGTTGTAAAGTGGATCATTCATAACCTTATAATCTATTAACTTTTTTAAAAGACTGTTTTAAAAATAAAGTAAAACATATTTTGCAATAGAAAATCTTAACTGATAATCAAATTGTAACCTAGAAATTTAGAAAATGGTTACAGGTTATTTGAAAATCTTCGAGCAACATGCTCTAGACAATTTTAGCTAGACTAACTTCATTACTCTAACTAAATTCAATACTCTATTAATATTTAAATCAAATTAATTTTTTTTTGTGAAAATTATGATTTTACGCTTAATTTAATAAACTTTTAAATGATTGCAGCTGGAAAGTTCGAACTGTGAATGATAATAATATATTTGATAATATATTATTAGAGATGTTGCTACAGAAAAATTGAAAAAAAATTATAATACCTTCCATTAGATTTTCACAGCTTCCTAATTTCAATGATTCATCACTAGAGCTTTCGCTGTTCGATACATCGTAAGATTTTTTCTGTGGTTGTGACCTCTTTATATTGCTTCTTGTTCTGCAATTTTTAAACAATTGTAACTCAATGTTTTTTAAAACTGAACGATTTTAAAAATTTTCAGTTTCAATTATATTCCAAATGTTTTGTTTTCAATAATTGAAATAAACTTCGTTAAAAAATTACACATTATTATCATTCTTCAATTCAAAATTATACAAAATTCAATTATTGCATGCAAATAATAAGTCCTTAGTAATCTAAATTTGCAAAAATTACAATCTTAAGTCTTCTAGACTATAATTGTATTTAGACATAAATTAATATTTATTAAAATTTGAAATAATTAAATTTTAATTCAATGGAAACTTCAATTTTTTACAAGATTGACATTCAGATTTTAAAAATGAAGAAGTTAACAAAACGGCTAAAGTAGATTTTAATTTATTACAAAAATTCTTAATTATACAATAATAATCTTCTTGTATAAGAATAAATTAGTATAACCTACTTTTGTCATTCAAAAAATTTTGACAAATTTATTCCAACAAAGAAAAATTATTAATTAAAAAGAAATGTTGACATAAATAATTGCTTAATTACACGCGGTGCTCGACGTGAACTTGAAGAAATTGAAGGGAATCGTAATAATGACTTTTTTTTCCACTGCTTTCTTCAGTGGCAGCAGAACCGGATGCAACATAAGTCATTATTTTTCTGCGTTCTGTAGTATAATCTTCTTTTAATTTCTTCCAAATTCTTTTTGCTCTGTCATCTACACATTTCATTATTAACTAATAGGATTACAACGAAATATTTTCATTATATTGTTCAAAGTATATATTTTTTTCTAAAGGTAGAAAACAAAATTTCGCGAGTCTATCCATCATATTTTAGCCAAAGCCTTTGCTGCCTAATTAAAAAATAAATTTTAGACATGACTCTGTACGATATGTAGGAAACGAAATAAAAAAAAATGTTTAAAAATTTAATTATTCATCTTCAAATATAAGTTTAAAATTAAAGTTAGAAAAAAATGTTAAATACAATTTTTGAGAAAAACGAGTTTAAAGTTCAAGTCCACTATTAGCTGTCATGATAATAAACAATTTAAAATATGATTATTGCATATTTTCGACATGCAATCCTCTTATTTCTCATTTCTCTTCAATAAGACAATTGACACACCAAAATAACTTATGACAAATCTAAATTTAAGTCATTCGAATTATTTTTAAATATATTAAATTGATGTGCTTTGTGTCTTCAAAAACTTATTGTAATTTAAATAACATATAATAAACATATAACAAATTGTTCTTCTTACAATTAGACTTTTAGAAAATTTTCAATGTTTCTTTTATTACTACAAGTTCTATCTGGTTTTCCATATTTCTTTCACTTTTGAACTAATTTTTTTAGTTAATATAATCTTGATACTTTTTATTTTGCATCTCAAATAGGCATCATATGAAATCATTTTTTAAGTATCATGTAACAATCACAAAAAAATAATAAAATCGCAAAGACTTTAGGTGCAAATAATGGATTGACTACTGTATATTTGGTTTATCTAATATTTGAAATTCATTCTTTAAAATTAATTTTAATTTCAAAGAAATAAAATTATTCTATAAATAAGCTGTAAATCGTTATTTTAAATTTGTACAAGAATTTTTTTTTTTGGAAATTTTTTCTGCACTCAATTTATGATTCATTACAATATTCTCAGATTAAATCATGAAGTAATTGCATGCATGCAAATACTTCAAGCAATAAATAAAGATTTAAACAAAATTATTATTGAACAACAAGCTTTAACTCACAATACTTTTCTGAAAGAATGTGAAAAGTGGATAATTCAAAATGTCTTTGAAATCAAATTTTAGTTTGAGGTTATGTCATTTAGTTTAACCACTATAAAAAGTTATAGACTCCAAAAAAACACTCCTCATAAATAAATATATTACTTTTTTTGTCATTATACGTTTTTAAAATTAATACTTACTGGTAATTTCAATGTTTGTTACATTTTGCACTTCTCGTGCAATTTCAAACCACGCCTGCTTCTTTGCGTATCTGTTTTTGAAATTTTCCGATGACTTATCATAAAGAAATTTGTAATTAGACACTACTTGAATTAAAACTTCGGTTTCGTCCACGTTATCCATTATTGTTATAAAAATAAAAATTTTTGTTTATAATAAAATAAGCAAAAAAACATTTACTAACTCGCATAGAGGTTAGCTACAGAAAAACTTAGAGAGAGAGAGAGAGAGAGAGAGAGAGAGAGATTGTCTTCTGCATTTTCACACATGAAAATTCACCTTAAATTTAAAATTGTATAAGTGTGAAAGAACCTTTATGTTTCCTTTCTTCACAGTTTTAAGGTTATCTGCACACACTGTTTATTAACTTTCATTTTTTTAATAGAAAATCGAATTTGTTGTCAATTTTTTAATTTTAAGCTTTATCAATGAGTTTTCTCATAATAAGTGACATTTTTGTTTTCTTTTTACTGTGATATTTTGAGTGATATAAATATAAATCTGCGTTTTCTGTGGATGCTATTTACAATTCGAAATGAATTTCAATGAAGTAAATGTTGTGGATGAGAACATAATATCTTTCATCAGTGTCATACGTGAATTAGAATGGATATATAATCCATCGAAAAAAATTAAAAAGCCAGAGGAAAGAGAGGAAAAATGGAAGACCTTACACGTTTTTTTAGAAAGCAGTGGAATCTGCTTGAAAATGGGTAAATATTGTTTGTTTTTAGTTTTAATATAAAAATTTCATTGTGAGTTTTAAAAGGGTTCAACTCAAACTTTATTGCTTAAATAATAAAGCATTTATTAATCAATTTTTTTAGAATAAAGAAAAAAATTTTTAATTGTTTATTCATTACATATGTATAAATAAAAGAAATCTTTTGAATCTTACTATTTTTAAAATAAAAACAAAAACAATTTTGTGTGATTTGAGCCAACTTTGTTTTTTAATAAAAAAAATTTCTGGCATTTTCTTTTAACTTTTTTTATTTTTTAAAGATAACACGCTCATAATTTGTATCTTTTCTTATACCACCTTTTGACATTTTTTATTCGTTTCATTGTCTAACCTGTTTAAAGTCTTTCTATAAAATTATTTTGTAATTATAAATTGTTTAATTAAAAATTTATAGGTTAAAAGTAATTATAAGAGAGAATAAAAGGTAACTTTATTGTATTGTTTTTTAATATTACTATTAAATTCTTATATTCCATTAAAAATCAATTAAAGTAAATAAAATATGTGCCAATTTTGTACTAAATTTAATGTCATTTCACGATATTGTATTAATTTTCAAGATTTTGGGTAAAAAATTTGAAAAAAATTTTAATCTATTTTTTTGACTTCGACCCTTTTTTAAAACTTCAAAATTATTTCAAAAGATAGATAAGTATTACAGGTTTTGTGTAACAAATCGTAAAATGGTGTCTTTAATAGTTTAAAAGTTGTTTAAATAATAAAAAGTAGTGTAATTCAAATTGCTGTCTTTCTGTCCCTGACCCAAATTCGATTTGCACACCTTTTTTTAAATTAAACATTTTTTACATCAATTAAGATGCCATTATACAATTTGATAATTAAAATCTGTAGAATTCTAAGCTACCATTTGAGATATTTTTTAACTTTTTAAATACAGTCAAAGTCTTAAAAAAATATATTTCAATTTTTTTAAATAAAAATTAATATAATCGTGAAATTTAATGCAATTACGTGAAATAACATTATATTTATTGTAAAAGTGACACATATTTTAATTTCTTTAATTAACTTTTAAGAAAATATTCGAATCTAAAAATAATATTGAATAACAATACACGATTGAAGTTGTCCGCCTGACGCCGAAAGTCACACATCTTGTTTTCAATTTTAAAAAAACCTCAGATAAAGTTTTCCTTTTAAGAAACCATTGTTGTGTATCTAATAATTAAAAAATTGCAGAAAAGTATAATATGACAAAAATTGAGTTGACAGCTTTTTGAAATTCAGAAATTCAGAATTCCTATTAAATACAATGTATGTTTTGTTGCTAGATGCTAAACAGCAATGGACCCAACTGCGAGAATCGTATGTGAGAAAACACAAGTACAATAGAAGAAATTGGCCTTATTATCATCACATGGAATTTTTAAATTCTTACATTAAACACAAAGAGTAATTATGCTTTAAATATTTGTCCTTTATTTTAAATGTACATAATTTTTGCAAAATGTTTAAGTATATTTACACATACAAATGTACTTATTTTAGAACTTCGCATGGTAAAAATGTTCAACAGAATGTTTTTTCACAACAGCATATTGCGAATACAGCGCTACCTCAATCTGGAGTGGAAATTGTGTTTCAGGATTCTGGTATGTGTCCAAGTAAAAGAACATGTATTTATAAAAGGAATGATAAATTGTTTATTAAAGTACATTTTTTAAATTTTATACCCAAAGTTAAATGGAGTGAGTTTTGAATTTTATATCTTAAAAGAAAAAAATAATTACATACAAAAATTAATTTAATGTTTAGAAATAAAACTGTTTTCTTGAAAGTATCAATTTTATACCATTTTGATCAAATTAATACCAAAAATAGTATAAATTTGATCAAAATGGTATTAAATTGATACTTTCAAGAAAGCAGTGAATTCAAACATAATTTAATACACACATCACCTATCTGTTAAATTATGTAACATTAAAATAATTTTGTCCATCTATAATAAAAGTTTTGATCTATGTAATAAACTATATTTTCCAATGTAATAGGCATGTCCTCATGTGGATCCATGAGTAATTCCTCAGTAACTGAAAATATTCCATCCACTTCAATGACTACAAAGCGACTGAATTCATTTGAAGGCATGGAAGACAGTGAAACCATGGATGTAATTGTTGTTGGAGCTGATGAGTTTGAGGAACTTCAATACAATTTTGAAGCTCCAACATCAATGCCTTCGACAATAAATTCATCACTGTCTCAGTTCTTTTCGGCACCGGAGGTTTCTGCAACATCTGGAATTATTGTTTCAAAGGCACCGCTGATGGCTTTACCAATAGCTTTACAAACACCTTCTCAAATCTCAATGCCCCCTTCATCAACATCTGCAATAACTTCTTCAACTTCAGCGTCTCAAACTTCAAATTTATGTTCCATTTTCACTCCTCCTTCATTAACTGTCGATTTAAGAGCACCATCAACAAATTCATTAACAATCACTACGTCATCACAAAACTCCATAATGTCTTCTTCAGCAAGACCTTTTCTGAATGTTTCTTCACCAATTTCTTCCTTCAACCCGCTTCCGAATCCTATTGCTTCCGAAAGTGCTGCTGAAATACCAACAAGTTTAACCTCTTCGTCGACTGTAGCATCTTTGCCAACATTAATTTCTCAGTCTTCGTTTTCACCTTCGGCTTCAAACATTTTTCAATCCCCTGCTAAGGAAATACCATCGGTTTTGCTGTCAGCGACCAATCGTAATTCGGCATCATCAAGCAAACGCTCCACATCGATGCTTTCTGATATCAATTTAGGAACAAAAAAGAAAACAGTGGATAAAAGAGGATCGCCTATTGCAGCATCCAGTAGAAAAGAAACATCGACAGGGAAAATTGTTCCGCCTTGGGACGGATTTGCTACGCGGAAAAAGAAGAAGGAGGATTCATTGCGGGAAGAACTTGCAGATTCAATGAAAACTGCAAATTCAAAACTTTCTCAAGCAACAGAGAAGTTATCAGAATACATAGATTGGAAACAATCTGTGGGGAAAAATGCGGCTAAAGGTAATTCTGTCGAAATAGGAAACGACTTGAGATTCAACACAGACGGGTTTTTTAATTTAATTCATAAACGATTTGTACTTCTCTCCGTACAAGAACAAAGAGAAATACTTCCTAATATTCTCGATGTGATGGAATCTTTTGAAGTAGAGCGTACGTAAAAATTACTTCATTCATTAATTGAAGTAAATTAAACAAAAAATGCCTAAAATCAATATATAAATTGTTTGAAGATTACTCTCTAAATTTGAATCAGTGGATTTCACTGCTAACCAGTTATAAGTATACCAAATCAGTGAAATTTCACTGATTTGGTATACTTATAACTGGTTAGCAGTGAAATCCACTGATTCAAATTTAGAGAGTACTCACCTATATATGTTAATTGCGATTCTTGCGTTTCTGCAAAGTATTGAAGTGTTTTTCTTGGTATATTTTTCGTTGATAAAAAAAAGAATTAAAACAATCTTTTGAAAGTTCGTTTATATTTGAATCATAAACAGATTCTAAGTGTAATTCTCATGGACCTTGTCTCATTATTTTATAAAAAGTAGAGAAATATGTAGATTTAACCTGATTTTAATTCATTTTTCGATTTAATTTTGGAACTAAAGTAAACTATTATTTAAGAGATTAACTTTAGTTAAGACAGTAAATCGGAAAATGTATTGAAATCGGGCTAAATTTACACATTTTCCAGTTATTATAAAATTGTCGCGTGTTATAAAAAATGTCATATATGCAATGTTACTGAAAATTATTTAAGTTGACAACAACGGATGCAAATATTCTTATAGAGAGTAGATAGTCATACGTAGTTTAATACAAAAAAATGTGTAAACATGTTGCCAAAAATTAAAGTTTTATTAGGAGAAATGTCGCTTTAAATGCAGTAAAAAATGCATATACATTTTTATGTTTCGTATTTTTCTCCTTAAAATATTAAAGTATTATAAATTAATATTATATAAATGCACTTTTCATTGTGCATTAAAAAATTAAAAATTTCAAAAGCAAATGAAAGTCATGCAAAGAATTTTTTCAATTAAAAGAAATATTTAAAATTATGCGTCATACATTAAACATTTGTATCATTTTTTATTTTATTTAAAACACAAATCTGAAAATGTTTAAAAAAAAATATTTTTGTATGTGGAAAAAAAATAAAAAGATTTTTAATATTGTTTAATATTTATTTACTTCTTTCATTCTTTACACATTTCAGCAGATTTTTTATACACAATTTATAAAATATACTTACACTAACATAATGCTAGTTATCAAATATTATACAGTAAAAAGTAAAAAAATCCAATAATTCAAATTAATAATAAGCAAACTTGGTTTGG